ACTCCTGTGACTTGCTACCGATCTCTACAAAATTCAATATTCTTTTATTAGTTTCCTCAACTTTTTCTGTTTGGGAATCTCTTTTAATGGAAAAAAATTAAAATTTTCAGTAAAATTTTAATTCTACATATTTAAAGGCTTAGCTTCTCAAATTTTTTTGTTTAAATTTTTCTCTCAATTTTTTAAAATTTTTTCTCTTTCCTTACCCCCCAACTTAAATGCCATTGCCCCCAATGGCATGACTAGAATGATGCAAAAGGGACTTGGGCCAAAGGGAACAATCAAGAGGTAAGGATTCAACAAGGGTTCAGAATTTGCCAATTGAATTCTGAAACTTATTCAAAAGAAAAGACAAACTCTGACAAGACAAGTAAAATAAAACTCCGTTGGGTTGCCTCCCAACCAACGCTAAGTTTAACGCCTTCAGCTAGACGCATTCACTCACTTCTCATATCTACACTTCCAAACTAACTTTCTTCTAAACACAGACAGAGGTCAGATTGGGCTAACCAAAGGATAAACAAGGCATCTACAAGGTCGTCCACTACATCTACCTTGAACTCATCTTCCCCTAGGTTTGGATACTTAGTGGCACTAAATACATTTAATCGGACTTTCTACTCCCCAAATGAAATGTCCATTTCTCCCAATTTACAGTTGATGTTTGCAATGGCAGTTGCTAAAAATGGGCGTCCTAAGATTATCGAGTTATGGTTCAATTCCTCGGTTGGGGTCATGTCTAGGATGATAAAATCCACTGGGAAGTAACAATCATCTACTCTGACAATGACGTCATCAATAACACCTCGAAGAGTCTTGACTGACCGATCAACGAGTTGCAGAATTACCGGGGTAGGTTTTAACTCGTCGATTCTGAACCTTTCATAAATAATAGAGGATAACAGATTTACATTGGCCCCAAAGTCCAATAGGGGCTGATTAAAAATGATTCCAGAGATGACACAACTTATTAGAGGAGCACTAGGGTCTCATTTTTTGGGGGAGTTGGTTTAGGAGAACCACACTAACATCTGCTGAGAGCATCACTTTTGTGGGGCCGATCGTGGCTCCCTCTTTTGAGTACACAACTCTTTCAAGAACTTGGCATAGGTCGCGACATGTTGGATCGCGCCGAGGAGAGGGAAGTTAATATGGACTTGATTGAATAACTCCCTGATCTCCTCCTTGTGAGTCTCTTTCATCTTTCACAATGGCCCGACTGTGAGTGCGGTTGGAAAGGGAACTATAGGTCGTTTGACTATAGGTTCTTCTTCTAAATTTTCCTTTCCTTTTTCTCCCCCCAAACTTATGGTCTTCTTACTCCTTTTCTTCTTCATTGATGTTTTCAAATTTCTTTTTCTCATGAGTCCTTTAAAATCCTCCCACTCCTTAAGGTCATAATAGCCTTGGCATTTTCAAACTGAGGGTTCTTTGGAGGTGGTTGAACCTGCTGTAGAGAAAAATCCGGAGGCTGATTTCTAGGATTCGCAATCAGTTGACTCGGTAGTTGTCCTACTTCTCTCCTCCATTGGCTTCAGCTAGCTGTCCTACTTGGCTCTCTAATCTAGCGTTGAACAACTGTTGAGTTAGAATCAACTGTTGAAGTTGCATGAATTTGTCATCAACTATACTGGTCTAAGAAGGTTCTGGGTAAACCTGATAAGGTCGGATTGGCTGGTTCCTAGGGTAAGTCTACTGGAATTGGCTTTGCACTTGTGGCCTCTAAAAATGCTAGGTCATGGAGTTAGATGGATGGTACTGCTGGATTGTGTGTTAGGTTGATGTGCCTTCCAAGAAAAGTTAAGGGTGATTTCTCCACCTAGGGTTGTAAGTATTTGATAATGGGTCATTATTAGGCCTCGAGAAACTCTAGGCTACTTGAACTTGTTCTTGGATAAATGACGGAAACTGGGCCACCGTTGGACAATCATCAACTTGGTGGGTCGGGCTTGCACAGATGGAACATGTTGGGTAGGATGACAAGGTTGGGTATGGGCCAATTTGTTGACGAAATGCAAGGACTTGATCAAGTCTTTGGGCCATCACATTAATCTTATCCAATTGTTGAGACACATGGCACCAATCTATCCGTGGCTTAGGTTGGAAGTAGTTTCTCATTCCACAAACTCCGGCCATTGAATTCATCTTATTTTGTTTTAATTTTTTTTTTGATTATGCACAAACAAGTAAAACACATGACCTAGGGGCTAAACTAAAGTTTCCTAAACTAGTGGTTCAACCAATGTGAATCCTTGTAAGTTCACTTAGAATTACACCACTTCCTTTGATTAGCCAGGTAAGAGGTGGGGATGTGAGAGGCTCCCCTTGCTTTCACAAGGACGTAATTAAGTAACCACAAAATCCACTTAGGCTTAGTCGGTTAACCTCTTTCCTTAAACACCAACCACCGGTTATGGAAAGTAATTACAAGCTTCCCTAAAATTCAGCACACTTTTGAACCAAATGTGTGGAGCCTCCTAAAGGATCTTGCTATCCAAATTTTAAATTAAGGTTTAGGGTGAACCACACATGAAAGGGTGGTGGTTTTTGGGCCAAGGAAGGGTGATGAAATTCCCACCTTATCTTATTTAAATTGGATTGCCCTTAAATGGATTAACGGAAAAACACATCTATTAATCCTAAATATGAAATCGCACCTGCTGAAATCAAAAATAAAAGACAACAGAAATCACTATTCTTAAAACTAAAATTGCACCAAGCAAGAAAAATTAAAGACATGAAAAAAATACAAGAATAATTAATTTTGAAATGAACAAAAAAAAACTCATGCAAATACAGAAATAAACAGATAACTAACTAGATCTAAAGGCGAAACAAAAGAAAAAAAATATAGCCGAATCTATTAAGAAATAAAAATAAAAATAAATAACCAAAGATTCAAAAACACTAATCTACCAAGATAAATTTGAAAATAAAGAGAAAAATCAGAAATTAGTTGGGATGACCACACCTGAATCGCTACCTAATATTTTCTTTTTTATTGTGCACAATTCGCTAGTATTCCAACACCCCACCTTTGGTTGCTATGTCCTGCGAAAACAAAGAAGAATTATGAGAGTTTTATTTTCAAATATCGGAAAACTAATGAAATAAAAAAATAATGTAAACAGATCCAAAACAAAGAAAAAAAAATTTCAATCTGTTGCTTCCCCGGGAACGGCGCCAAAAACGTGGTGCACCCGGGATGCGTCGTCAAACACTCGGGACACCAGTTTAATAATTTATATTTTTCCAATCCTCAAAACTAGATAAAGAATGTAGTTTAGTGGTGAGGAAGGGGTCGAATCCTTAGGAAAGCAAGGTTAAAAATTATTATTTTGTTCCGAACAAATTAGAAAAAGAAAACAGATTTGGGATTTTGCAGAAAATAAGAAAATAAAAATTATTAAAGCTGAAATAAAATATTCAGAATTGAAAAAGACAAGAAATTAAATAAAACTGAAATTAACAAGAAAATAAATAAAAATATGCTGAAATTCGGATCCAGTGGCAGTAGCTTTCCGGGAAGACAAACTACAAGTCGTTCCTCCTCCATTCAGCCCTCAAACCCCTTGAGACACCTTAGCCTTGAACTGGGCGAATTCAAATCTGCAAAAGACAAAGAAAAACAGAAATTAAATCAAACCAAAATAAAAAATTACAGAAATTAAATTGCTAGAAAAACTGAATAACAAAAAGAAAGAAAATAGAACAAAATAAAAATGGTGGATCAACTCCAGTGGCAACAGTTGCAGGTTGGACAAACTGCTTGCAAGAACCCCTCCTGACAAAATCTAGGTGTCCTCCTTCCTGTAACCCCTTGAACCCCTCAAGAAGCCTTGGCCTTGTGAACAGGGCTAACCAACCCTTTCTCTAGGGCCCTTGGGGTCTTTTTTATAGAGAAGGGTGGACAAAACTGGGATTAGAGAGAAAGAGAGGGGTGGCTAGTGGGTTTATGCAGAAAATGGGTGCCCCTAGGGTTTAGGAATGGAGGGTTAGGATTAAACAAGAGGAATCCTATGGCTAGAGTGAAAAGGAGAGGGTGCCTATAAGTATGGAGGGCTGGGATTTAAGCTCCTAGGATTGAATGGTGGAGATTTGGGCACCTAGGACTGAAAGGTGCAGATTAATGGGAGTGGGTGGCACCCTAGGGTTAGAATACTAAAGGGAGTGAGAGGTTGCTAAGGCTTGGATGCAAGACTTGTAGTTGCATATGAACTACCTGTATGTGCAAAGGAAGTGGTGTAGTTGGCTCCTGCATTCTACTGTCCATCTGGAAAGCTAGAGCTAGGTGTAGTTTTCCGAAAGCATTATTTTTTGTGGGGCCGATTGTGGCTCCATCATTTGAATACACATCTCTTTTAAGAACTTGGCATAGGCCGGGATATGTTGGATCACATTGAGGAGAGGGAAGTTAATATGGACTTCCCTACTCTCCTCGTTGCGAGTCTCTTTCTTCTTTCGCACTGGCCCGACTGTGAGTGCAATTGGAAAGGGAACTATGGGTTGGTTCACTAAAGGTTCTTCTTCAAAAGTTTCCTTTCCTTCTTCTTCTCCCCCCAACTTAGGGTCTTCCTGCTCCTTTTCTTTTTCATTAACTTTCTTTTTCTCACACAGGTCCTCTAACATCCTCCCACTCCTTAAGGTTGTAACAGCTTTAGCATATTCAGGCTGAGGGTTCTTAGGAGGTGGTTGAATTTGTTGTGGAGGAAAACCCGGTGGTTGATTTCTAGGACTCACAACCGGTTGACTTGGTAATTGCCCTACTCCTCTCCTCTTCTTGACTTTGGCTAGCTGTCCTATTCGGCTTTCTAATCTATCGATGGAATGCTGCTGATTTAGAATCAGCTACTGAAGCTTTATGAATTGGTCATCGACGATACGGGTTTGAGGAGATTGTGCGTAAGCCTGATACGGTTGAACCAGTTGGTTCCTAGGGTACACCTACTGGAATGAACTCTGTACTTGTGTCCTCTGAAAATTTTGGGCCATTGAGTTAGATGGGTAGTATTGTTGTTGAGACTATGTATAGGTTTGACATGGTTGAGCTGTTTGAGTCTGAGGGTAATCATTGTACTACCAACAAGTCTGGGCTTCAGACCATTGAGAGTGCATATCTGGCAAGAGGTTTTCTTGAACTTGGGTCCTATAATTGAAGTTGGGTTGATTTTCCCACCCAGGGTTATATGGACTAGAGAATGGGTTAGCATTGGGTTAGAAAAATCTATTGGCCAGATGTACTTGTTTTGGAATAACTGGTTGACATGAGCCCGCTGTAGGGCACTGACTAACATGATGGGCCGAGCTTGCACAGATGGAACATGATGGATAGGATGACAAGGTTGGGTATGAGCCACTTTGTTGATGACGTGCAAGGATTTCGTCAAGTCTTTGGGCCATACCATTAATCTTGTCCAGTTGTCAAGACACGTTGTTCCAATCTATTTGTGGCTCAGGTTGAAAGTAATTTCTCATTCCACACTCTCCGACCATTGAATTCATTTTCTCTTATTTTGTTTTAACCCCCTTCCTCTTCTTTTTTTTTTTGAAATTTGAAATTTTAATTTTGAATTTTAATTTCAAATTTAGATTTTGAAATTTAAATTCTGCAATTTAAACTCAAATTTAAATTTTTAAATTTTTTATTTTCTTTCGTTTTATTTTTTATATCTAATGTTTTTTTTATTTGAAATTTTAAATTTAAATTCAAATTTAGACTTTGAAACTTAAATGCCTAAAATTTAAATTTAAATTTGATTTTTTTTTGAAATTCGAAATTTAAATTTTTGAAATTGAAATTGAAATTTAGATTTTGAAATTTAAATTCCTAAAATTTAAATTCAAATTTAAATTTTTAAATTTTTTTATTTTCTCTTTATTTTCTTTTTCTTTCTTTTTTTTTATTTTTTTTATTTTTTTTATTTCTTTAAAGGCAAACAAATCAACCACACGACCTAGGGTTTCCTAAACTAGTGGTTCAACCAATGTTAATCCTTTTAGGTTCACTTGGAATTACACCACTTCCTTTGGGTAGCCAGGTAAGAGGTGGGGATGTGGGAGGCTCCCCTTGCTCTCGCAAAGACCTAATTAAATAACCACAAAACCTGCTTAGGCATAGCCGTTTAACCTCTTTCCTTAGACACCAACCACCGGTTATGGAAAGTAATTTCAAGCTTCCCTAAAATTCAACACACCTTTGAACCAAATGTGAGGCTTCCCTAAAGAATCTTTCTATCCAAATTTTAAATAAGGGTTAGGGTGAACCGCACGTGAATGGTGGTGATTTTTGAGCCAAGGAAGGGTGATGAAATCCCCACCTTATCTTATTTAGGTTGGATGCCCTTAAATGAATTAACAGAAAGACAAAATAAACACAGCAAAATGCAACTAACTACAATGCATGAACAATTATTTCTAAGATGAAATTCAGCAATTAAACCTAAAATAATAAAACAAACAACTAAGCAAAAGGAACAATTAAAATAATAAAAAGAACACCTAATTCATTCACAACTAACAATAACAATTTCATCAAATAAATAAACCTATATGACGCATGCTCTAGAATATCAAACCCTAAATATAGGAATGAAAATGCAAGAAAAATATTAACCAATTTTTTTTTTGATTTTTTTTTTAATTCAAAATTTAATTTTTTGGAAATTTAAATTCAAATTCAGATTTTGAAATTTAAATTCTTAAAATTTTAAATTTGAATTTTTTTAAATTCAATTTTTTAAAAATTAAATTTCGAAATTTGAAATTCAAATTCAAATTAAAATTTAAATTTAAATTTAAATTCAGATTTGAAATTTAAACTCAAATTCAAAAATTTCAACAATTTTCTATTTAACAATTAATTATTCAGTTAAACAACTAAAAGGAAAGAAATTAAATAAAGCAACAAATAATAACTGCAAACAGAAAATAAAACAACAATTAATTGTGCTAAACAGAATTAAGAACTACAAAAAATAAATTCTAACAAACTAATTGCTAATCTAAAAAATTAAACTGAAAATAAAATGATCAAAAAAAAATTATGCAAGAAATAGATAAAATAAACGAAAAAATACAAATCTAAAAAAATTAAACCGAAAATAAAATAAACAAAAGAACAACAAATGCTGAAATTTTTTTATTTATATTTTTTTGTTTCTTTTTTAATAAAAGAAAAACACAAATCTAACAATTAATACGAAAATAAAATTAACGAAAGAATAGCATGCTGCAAAAATAAATAAAATAAAATAAACAAAAAATTATTTATTTCTTTTTTTTGTATTTTATCTGAAATAAAAGAAAAAAATGAATCTAAAATTTAAACCAAAAATAAAATAGAGTAAAATAAACAAAAGAAAATTATGCTGCAGGAAATAAAATAAAATAAAACAAATGAATTTTTTTTGTTGTTTTATCTGAAATAAAAGAAAAACACAAACCTAATAAAGCAAAAAAAAATCGAACAAGAAATTAAAATAAAGAAAAAAATAGATCTAGAAACAAAATGGAAGAAAGATAATACTAAAAAAATCGAATCTAAAAAAAATTAATTAAAAATTCAAAAATAACTATTCTATCATGAAAATGAGTTTGAAAATAAAAATAAGAAAATTAAAAATAAAATGGAACGACTACACCTGAAACACAATCCAATTTCTCTTCTCTTCTCTTCCGTCCTACAACGCTCCGGTACCCCACCTTTCGCTATTCCATCCTGCAGAATCAAAGAGAAACAATAATTAAAATGAGATAACCGATCAAGTAATAAAATGAAAAAAAAATAATGAAACAGATCCGGAAAAAGTAAATAAAATTTTTCTCTATGCATCCCCGGCAACGACACCAAAAACTTGGTGTGTCCGGAAGCGCGCCGTTAAACACTCTAGAACACTAGTTTAAACATTTATAATTTTTACCATTTCTCAAACAACTACTAACGTAGTAAATGGGTGAGAGCGGGTCGTATCCACAGGGAAGCAAGTGAAAAATTAATATATACTTAGATCCGGACAAGAGAATGCATTCGGGAATGGCAGAAAATACGAAAATAAAATTTATTATTGCTGAAAGTAATTGTTTAAAATTTAAACAAGACAATAAATAAAAATCAGAATTTAATAAACTATGGGAATCAACAAAGGAAATAAAAGAAATAAATAAAAAACGATCCAAAATCTGAATTCGGTGGCAGTAGCTACAGATCGGCCAGACAGCTTGTAGAAACCCCTCCTGACAAGAATCGAGCGTCTGTCCTTTCTACAACCCTCGAACCCCTCGAGACACCTTAGCCTTGAACCAAATGAATTTAGATCTGCAAAACAGAGAAACGAAAAAGAATTAAATCTAAAGGATTGCAGAAATAAAAATAACCAAAAAGAAAAAGAAAGAAAAGAAAAGAATGGTTGATCAGATCCAGTGGCGGTAGTTGTAGAATGGTTGAACAGCTTGTAGGAACCCCTCTTGACAAGATCTGGGCATCCTCCCCTTCTAAAACCCTTGAACTCCTCAAGAAACCTTAGCCTTGTTAACTAGGTGAATTGACTAATCCCTTCTACAGGGCCCTTGGAACCCTTTTTATAGAGAAGGGTGGACACAACTGGAAATAGGGAGAAAGATGGGGGTGGCAGCTGGGATTTAGCAAAGTTAGAGATGCCCTAGGCCTGAGAGAGTATTACATTCCTCCTACTCTCCTCTCCATAGACAAAGGCATAGGCCTGAGAGAGTATCACACCCTCCCTAGAAAGAATATGCTGCCTAGCAATGTCAAATTCAGGGTTCAACCCTGCCAAGAACTTAAAAACCCTATTCCTCTCTACCAATCTGTGATAAATTTCTACATCATTTACACTTTCCCATACCATAGTTTTTAAGTGATCTATTTCCTACCATAGGGTTTTTAGCATGGAGAAATACACAACAAGAGGTTTTTTTCCCTGTTTCATACTTATCACTAGATTCCTTAACTGATAGGCTCTGACTTCATTTTACTTCTAAGAGTAGGTTTCAGTCACCCCACCCCAAATCTCCTTAGCAGTATTAGACCATAGGAAGTTTTTTGCAATATGAGGTAACATAGAATTACACAGGCAGGACATTACCATGTAATTCTCCTGCACCCATCGGGAAGAGTCTGTATCAGGTTTTTTCTCCTCCCCAATGAGATTCCCTAATTTTCCACGAACACCGATAGCCATCTTAGCTAATTGTGCCCACTCCAAATAATTTGTACCATCATGTTTTACTGTAGTAATGATCCCAGATCCAAAAATATCACTACTACCTCCAACACCTAGTCCCACAGTACCAATGGATTTCATCTCGGTATTCCAACTCTCCATCTTACTTCAAACAACTCAGTAGTAAGAAAAATATAGATTGGAGACCTTCAAAAAATAATTTAATATCACACACATAGAAACCAACTCTTTCGGAAGAAGAAAACCCTAGTTGGAGGGAAATCTCTCTCATCTCCATGCCTCCCACCAGAGAGGAAAGTGAATCGACCACTCCAGGAGGCCCAAAAAATTCCAGAAACTAAACCGCCCTATTCAGAAAATCAAAAGAAAACTAACAATACCTGAGCGCCCAAAACCAGATCAAACACAAAGACTCCAACTTTTCTAGGACTTTTCCCCATACTCCAGTTCTTCATGATTTTGATGTCGAACAATAGATCACTTTCCTAATGACTAGATTGATCAGCCCTTTACTACTTCATGCAGTCAGATGATCTAGGACTGCATGAGAATGCTTCAAGAAACCCTAGTCGATGCTCTAATACCAAGTAGAAATCTGTTGAATTAAAAAATATAAAAGAAAATTAGTTTCTTGAAGAGAAAAGGAAGTGAGAAGGAGAAGAAGAGAAGAGAAGTTGAAAAGAAAAGAGAGCAATAATCTGGCCGCCCCCTTCACTTATTATTTATACTAAAATAGTAAAATAGTACAAAGACAATTATGCCCATATAGGGCGGCAAAACATAAAACAACATATATAACACTCAAAAACATAAAAATTTGGACTTACATAACTACTGTGGTTCCCACCTCCTATCTAACAACTTACATAAAACATCTACTCAGAAAAACATCATAAAACTAATTAATCTTCAACAATGCT